AAGATCAAAGAGCACAGCCTTTGGTATGGATTGCATCTCAATATAAAGAAAACAAAAATCCTCACCATTGGACCAGTAAACAATATTTTTATCAACGGAGAAAAGATTGAAGTTGTCAAGAACTTCATTCTTCTTGGATCAACTATCAACACTCACTGAAGCAGCAGTCAAGAAATCAAATGGCGTATTGCATTAAGCCAATCTGCGGCACAAGACCTCTTTAAAGTGTTGAAGAGCAAAGATGTCAGCTTGAGGACTAAGGTATGCCTTTCCCAAGCCATGGCATTTTCAGTAATCCCATATGCATGTGAAAGCTGGACAGCTGGCTGTAGAAGAATTGATGCATTTGAATTATGATGTTGGAGGAGAATATTGAAAGTGCCATGGGCTGCCCAAAGAACCAATAGATCCATTTTGGAAGAAGTGCAGCCAGAGTGCTCCTTGGAGGCCAAGATGGCCAAACTTCATCTCTCATACTTCGAACATATTGTCAGGAAGGGCCAGTCACTGGAGAAGTATATCATGTTTGTTAAGGTGGAAGGTCAGAGAAAAAGAGGAAGATCCCCATGAGATGGATTGGCCAAGTGGCAATTATCGATGGACTCAAGTGTGGCAACAGTAGTGAGGCTGGCCCAGGATCAGGCATTGTTTTGTTCTGCTGTGCATAAGGTCGCTATGGTTTGGTACCGACTCGATGGCACCTAACAACAACAATTCATATTGAAACAAAATTTGCTGTGTTCTTATTATATATAAAACAGTACCTGATACATTTGGAAAGATACAAATATGTAGAAGAAATGATTCACTCTCCTCTAAGAGCTAGCAAGAAAAAGTTGAAAACTGATGCCAGCAAGCAGACAGAGGAATATTCGTCAAGCGTCTGTGATAACTTCAGAGACACATAAGTAAATATGGAAGCATACACCTATATATTTTGTAGGTGTCCCTATTCAGCAACTTAGCAGCTTGTGGGCAGTGAGCACTGTGCTCCATCAGGGTGTAGTAGTTACTGTACACCCAAGTGAATAGATGTGAGTGTTTAATGCCCATCCTTTATTCCAGATTAGAAAGGTAGTCAGTCATTCCTGGACTTTAGATAATCTGCCATGGAAACACCTTCAAAAACACTAGAAAAGGCCAGTATTCATAGTAATCCATGCTTGTACTGTGCTTCAGATCTGTTTTCTACTTAGATTTTCAGAAATGCTCTAGGATTTAGCCATAAATTTAAGAAAACCAAATACCTAGTGTTCAGATAGTTCAAGAGGATCTGTAAGAAGTTTTCTTGTTTTCAGTGGAGGCTCATGCTTCATTTCATCATTGAATTTACATCTGAGTTAGGTCATGTGTGAAGTATGTGGGTGTTGGTAGATGGAGAATTTGATTAAATTGTTTTTGTAGAGGTTCGTATGTAAATGCATTTTCTGTAATCTGTAAACTCACTCTTAAGAAACCACCTGGCATTTTTATATTAATACTGAACCCATTGTTATTAAGTTGATTTCAACTCATGATGTTACTGTTGTGAAGTGCCCTGAAGTTGGTTCTGATTCACAGTGGCCCTGTATAGAGTTTCCAACGAGCAGCTGATGGGTTTGAACCACCAACCTTGTGGTTAATAGCAACCATATATATCATTTCTGAGATGATTTATCATTACAGGAACCTTGTGGTTAGCAGCCTAACACCCAACCCACTATGCTATCAAAGCACAATTTCTGATTCAGAGTGCTTGAATTGTGTGTGTGTGTGTGTGTGTGCATTGGTGGCAGTGGGGGAACAGGTGGGGAACATCATTAAGTGGGCAGAAAGGAGAGAGGGTTTAAGAAGCTAACAGCAATGGCTATTTCTGTATTTCACTCCCTTTTTAAAGGTTTGCAAGATGTGTGGTTATTATATATTTTTGTTCAATCTTTATTTTATTACAGTGCGCTTCCCAGGAATAAAAACCTACATTGATCCAGATACATATGAAGATCCATCTCTAGCAGTCCATGAATTTGCAAAGGAGATTGATCCTTCAAGGATTCGAATTGAGAGAGTCATTGGAGCAGGTAAACTTAAAACCTACAGTTTGGAAGACATAACTCTTTAATGATTCTATAACTGGTTAATCTATATGATATTGGAATTCTTAGCAGTTTTAGTCATTAGAGTATAAGTATAATCAATCCTCTTACATTTCTTATGTCATCAAATAAAGTAGAGTAAGCTCCATATTCAATTTCTAAACAATGACAAAATTCACAAAAGTTATTTTTTACATACTATAGACTTCTTTCATTATGGAGATAAATTATAGTGAATCTAGCATGTTTCAGGAATGTATTGGAAAATTCAATTTCAGGAGTTTGTCACAGGTTTACTCAAGTCCTGGCATGTATAGACATATGTTATAATAAGTATGTATAATGGTTATCTCAATGTGCATAAGGAGAAATCTTTGAAGATAAAATTAAGTTTAGTATAGTTTTATATCACTTTATTGAAAATTAGTGATTCTGCTTTATATAGGATTTTTAAATGCTCAGAACAAAATGTTGTCTAACTATTAGGAATAAGAACAAATTTGCTATGACTCAGTCCCCAAAATTTATGCAGTAAATTAGTTAAGGGCAGAGGCTAAGCTGTTGTTACAAAGAGACCCCAGAACAAAGATTTATTCCCCTTCCATGTACTTGACCCAAGGTGAATAGTCTGTGCTGAAAGGTCCTTCAAGAACCTGATTTCTCCTATTCTCTGCTCTGCCTTTTCCTAAAGTGCCATACTTCTTTGCATGAACAAAGCTGGGTCATCAACACATTTGCCTTCCAGCCTGAGGGAAGGAGAAAACCACACACACGAAAGAGTTCAAACTATTTGGCTTTATGTTTAGGGCAAAAGCATGGAACTTGCAAGCAAGTTTACTCATATCTCTTTGGCCCAAACAACCATATGGTCACATTTATCTGTCCGGGCAGTCACGTAATATATTTCCTAAAAGACGAAATATTTTACTAATATAGAGAAGTGAGACTAGATGCCGAGGGAGAGTTGGTCTCCGTAGATACTGATATTTACGTAGTCCTGTAGAGAGAGTAGAACACACCAGAGTGTTGCCATTTCATCCCTGCATTGTGTCTTTGCAAATGTAGAAAGAAAGCAATAGGTTTTCTTTTGTTGCTTTCAAAGCCCTTCTTTTCCAGAAAGATGGACTGCATCATGAAAATGTTGGATCCCATATAAAAAAATCAATTAAAAATTTAAACATAATATTGAAAGTGCAGTGACTTCTAAGCTCAAGTCTTTGTTTGACTGCACAGGACATATGCCTCTAAAGCTTATCAGGCACCTGTTCGATACTACAAGAATCAGTACTATTTCACAGATCCCAGAGGTGTTTGCAATAGGTCTGACATATCATTTCATTCTCTGTGCACTAAGGACTGTATCATCTCCTACACAGCACAGCCTCCTTTGGAGAACAAATGCATGAATCCTATAAGCATAATCCTAATGCTAACCCCCAAAAGACTGCTGTATCAGAATGGTTATGAACCTGGAATGGAACTGGATTCTCTATCCTTTATTGCTGAACAATAACAACAAACAAAAGCAGCAAGCATTAAAGGCAAAATTGAAAAGATTAAGTGTCTTTATTCAACTCGCTTTGGAGTTAATTCTCTTAAAATAGCAAATGAATGGAGGAGAAAGGAAGTTAAATAATTTCTCTTGCACACTATCTTTGACTTTTTTCCTCTGACCCCAGTTGAAAAGAAATGTGTCATTTTGAACAGTAGTTATATTTGAGAGCATATTCTGTTATAGTCTTTTGTGGATAAATGAAACTCCAGTGTCTGAAATTACAATGTTGAGAGACAGTATCAAGTATCTGAACTGTAAACAGTATAAATAAATTAAACCTTGCTTTATTTTTTTATTTTTCAATGAAAGTATAAATTTAGTCCTAATAATACAGGTATACACATACATATATACATACATAAGGAGCTCCGGTAGCATAATGGTTACAAATCAGGTTGCTAACTTCAAGGTCGGCAGTTTGAAACTACCAGCCATTCCATGGGAGAAAGATGAGATGTTCTGCTCCCGTAAAGATTTACAGCCTTGGAAACCCTGTACAGGGTCTCTATGAGTTGGAACCAACTCCACAGCACTTAACAACAACAGCATATACATACATGCATGCATACATGCATACATATACATACATATTCCATCAGGTCTAGCAGAGCTCTAATAAATCATATTGGGATTTCTCTCATTTGGGAAAGTCAGAAATTCTAAGCTATATAGTCATTCCTATACAACTGTGTTTCTTTTTTATCTTTATTCTTCTTGGATTATTTCAATTTTCAAATAATATGTTCAGGTTTCTTTTGTGGTCAATCTTCAGAACCATCATAAAAATGAAGGTACTTTGAGATACAAAGTTTCTGTAACTTTACTTTCCTCTTTGTGCCCACACCTAGTACTGCTCTGTTAATAAGCTCCTTTAGACCACATTCCTAAGACTCTTATATGTGTGGAAAGACCTAGTGAATGTTTGCACATCTCCCACAGAAGCAGTGTGGAAAAAGCATTCTTCAGTTAAACTGAAGAAGAATTAATAGGGTGATATAACATCTGATTATATCACCTTGTTAGTTGCCCACTTTTTACTATAAATATTTTTCTTAGGTTATTATATATTCTTTATTGTTTTTCCATTTAATTTGATTGCTTCTTCTCAGAATTAATTTCCTTGTCATCTATGTACATTAAAGATTCCCCATGTAAATATTTCTTGACTTAAGTAGCCACATAGATACTAAACAGACGTGGGGTGGGATGGAATTACGGAGAAGGGACAAGAGATAGCATAGGAAATAATTGTCATGTGAAAATAATCAGAATCCAATTAAGGAATTGACACTAGGATGGAGAGGGATACTTCGATTCAGAACTCATTCATTCATTGCTGTTGTTATGTGCATTCGAGTTGGTTCTGATTCATAGTGACCCTGTATAGGAATTCCAAGGAGAGGCTGGTGAGCTTGAACCTCTTGCCTTGGGGTTAAAACAGACCCTGCAGTCCAGTGCATTAACCTACAGTGCTACACCAAGTCTGCAAGTTTCTTAGTGAAGAAACATTTTTTTATAGAGCTCTGGTAGCGTAGTGGTTACGAATCGGGCTGTGAACCTTAAGGTCAGCAGTTCGAAATTACCAACCGCTCCGCGGGAGAACGATGAGGCTTTCTGCTCACGTAAAGATTTACACCCTCGGAAACCCTGTACAGGGTCGCTATGGGTCGGAACCGACTCGATGGCACTTAACAACAACAATTGGGAAACGGAGTCCTAGTGGGGTATTGTGGGTTAATGCGCCAGACTGCAAAGCCGTTTGAATTGCAGGGCGGTGCTTTAAGCTCACCACCTGCTCTTCGAAACCCTATACCGAGTGGCTATGGGTCGACTGCACTTCACCGCCACCACCACCACCAAACAAGAATGACATAGTTTTCTCTGACCTTCCACCTTACTAAACATGATATCCTTCTGCAATATGTCCCTCCTGACAATATGTCCGAATCATGAGAGATGAATATTGGCCATGTGTCATCATTAATTTTTTTTAAGTTATAAAGAAGCCAAAAAACAAACTCAGTATTATAAATTTTGAATGATTTGCTGTTGTTGTTGTTAAGTGCCTCTGAGTGGGTTCAGACCCATATAGATCTTGTACAGGGTTTCTGAAGAGCGGCTGTTGAGCTTGAACTACCAACCTGGCGGTTCAAGCTTACTTTGTAGTCCAGCGCATTAACATACAGCTCCACATAGATGGCTAGTATTTGGTTATAAAAGAGATTATGTTAATTAGTTGTTTCATATTGATCATAGATATGTTTATATTCAACTTGCTTTCCACAACTTTTGTTCTGGGATATTCAACTTTATAACAATCCAAATACTGTGATTGACAAAACCTTAGAAATTTTAATTTCTCCAATTATCTAGGATATATATATATATCCCTCATCTTTCATTGTAATGTCTACTTTTTCTACGATTTTTTTCTAGAATATATATATATATTACTATTCTATTTAATAGGGGCAGTTTATCTTTGTTCATCAATACAGGCCTGAATTTCCATGAAAATGCACATTTCCATTTAAATAAAGTGAGCAGCTCTGTTGCATAGGAGATTTCTTTGACTTTTTTGCATCGTAAAATGAAATAACTGTGACCAGAGGACTGTAAAACAGAAATTCCCAGGCTAAACGAGTCAAGTCAGATTAAGATAGAATCATTATTTTACACATATCTCGAGAGATAATGAGAAAACTGGTAAACTGAATTTTAATCATGAGCTGGAAAAGGTCACTAAAAGGCTATCCATTTTTAAGAATAGTACGGAACCTAAATAATTATGAGAAAAACTTGCCTAACAGACTATCTATAATTTTGAAACAATATTCCATTTAAAAAATCATTATTGCGCCTTTAAATTTATAGGGTGCCCTTCTTATATTTGACCTTCCCTCTTTCCTTAGTCTCAGCAGAAATGAATAATATCTGCCTGTCATTCATATTCTATCCCTTTATCTATACATAACTCATTATTGCCTCCACTATCAGCTTTCTCCTCCCTTGGCTTAGTGTCACCATATTTTTTCACTTCCTAGAATAGTCCAAGATGTTTTAACTGTAGGTTTCTCTGCAGTCATCTTCAGGTAAAAGGAAGTCAAAAGGACACACAAACTAAAGAAAGAGATGATTGTTAAATAAGTGATTGATTCGTATTGATATTTTGATCCTGTAAATCCGATCCAAATTTTCAGGAGGTTGTTTGGAAGTTTATAGATGTCCTTTATGATGATGACAACAAATGCTTACCTTATGCGTCTCTTCCAATAACCTTGTCATATCCATATTCTGGTCAGTCTCTTATTTCTAGATTAGAATCTATTTTCTAGGTTAGAATCTATTTTAAATATATATATCTTATACCCCTTATTTTTTTTCATCTTCTACAATTTTATTATTCTTTCTTGCTGCATGAAAATGAAAA